CCCCCCCGGGCGGCCCCGCCTGCTCCGCCAGGAGGCCGGCGTCTCTTGGACGGAGGGACGCCCCTGCCTGCATCAGTTCGTGGGATGGAGTGATCTCGATCCGAGGGCTCAGGCCCGAGGCCCCGGCTGGCTTGGCCGGGCTCAGAAAGTTCTGGGGCCCTACCCTATCCGGCTCTCCGAATCGGCCGGGGGGCTCGCCAGAGAGACTGGCAAGGGGGCTGTATGGCTTGAGGCCACAGTCCAGGACATCATCGGGGTATGCGAGTCCGGAGGGTGGGCTGACGACCTTATGTGCATTCGGTTCTTCTGGAAAGAGAAGGGGGGAGGGAGGGGTCTTTTAAGCCTCTAAATCAGAACTCCAGGTACAGAGCAATCAGGCTGGGTTTTGTCTCGTGTTTAGTTTTTTAAATTCCCACCACGCACACCCCAACCTACAACCTCCATCCCTCACCACCAGGCAAGCGAGGCCACTTGGGTGGACGCAGGCTCCTTGCAGACAGAGACCAAAATGGAATGCTCTGGGTGCCAGCACATGGCTGGCCCGAGCCAGGCTTAGCCGGAGGCCTGAAGACGAGCTGGGCTAAAGGCCTCCAAACTGCAGTGAGATGCAACCCTTGTATCTCACAACCCAGTTCACACGTCACGGATCCCCACCACTGAAGCAAGAGCATCACCGAACAATAATACTTACCCTGCTACACGTAACCCACTCAGGCCTTCCCTCCTGTCTGTGTTTTGTTTCAACCTTGGTTACAACCTGTGAATGGACTTCCTAGCCCACCGGGGGTTGTGACCCACAGTTTGAAAAACACAGACCTAGGCCTGTCTGTGACTTATATGTGTGATATGAACACAGAGCAGTTCTACATGTATGATACAGAGAGAGAGGGCTTGTACATGTAATACCTGGGCACCAAGAGAGAGTATACAGGCGCTGGAGTTTCACAGAGTTCTGGCTTTGAATCCTGACTCTTCACGCCAAAGTGTAAATAGTTAATTTTCTTTTTTATCTTTTTTTGTATTTGCTAGGCAGCGTGTGTGCCCCTTGGAGAGTGACATAGAGAAAGGGAAAGTGCCAAAGCACCCCCATGGAGGACGGTGCACCACAGTCCCTTCCCACTTCCCTCCTTTCAGGATTTTGAGCATACACACACATGCACCCAGCATGTTTTTCAAGCCACCAGGACTCAAACCACCCTGGCAGTCACGTGAGATCCGGCCCACTTTAACCACCACGCCACAGACTGGCCCAGGAGTAGCTTCATTCTGAACCAGACTCCTGACTGTGTCTCATCTGTGTCCTTTCACAGAGGAGGAACTGAGGCCCAGAGAGCGGAAGTGGTCACTCAAACACAGTCCCGGTAGCCTAGCAACCCTGCACCTGAGCCACTTGCCTCCCAGAGAGCTATAGAGAGTCCCCCAATCTATGAAAATCAGTGGCTGCTGAATGACCTCAGGGCTCCTTCAGCTGTGACAGCCCCTCTCGGACTTCTACTGCCACCTCCAAAGGACCTACCACTGGAGGGTGGTGTTTCACAGATGGTCCCGTGCCAACTGCCTAGGGACATGACACTCCTTGCCTCACGCTGTCATGGGTTCTCAAGTCTCCTGAGCCTGTCCTTGGCTGACGCCCCCACACGCACACACGCACACACACGAACACACTGCTGACCCCTGAACTCACTGTCCTGCACAGGTACAGACATGCAGGGCTGCTCGGGAAGTTACCATCGTGGGAGCGAGGTCAGTTCCAAGTCCTCACCCTTAGGCTGCACATCTGCTCCATCAGCAAATCTGACCCTCTCCTGCCAAGACATAACCAGGCCCAGCCTCGCCGGCACGGCCAGTAGCACACTGAACTGCAGTGCCTGGAGCCACAGGGCTGACTGCAGGTTTGGATCTCTGGGTCTGTCTGAAAACATGCCAGGCGTGAGTGTGGGCACCCTAGATCCTGAGGAGTAGAGGGCTAGGGAAGGGGGTCGCAGCAGTCTTGACTCTGTCAATCATGCTGGTGCTCTCTATCATTTAAGACAGAAAATTAAGATATAAGCCAAATTCACACACCTCCCCCATGCAAGATGCCCACCCTGGCCCAGCCTCCATCCTCCCTCCACCCCGGGACTGCTGCAGCGCCCTCTCCCTGGTCTCCCCTTTCCACCCACGCTACCCTCAACACTCCCCACTCTCCGACATGCTGGCTCGGCCAAAGCTGCAATGACATCCTCACTGTTCTCGCAGCTGCTCCTGCCTGGAAGTCCTTGAGGGCACTGTTCCCTCGGCCTGCAGGCTCTTCCCATGGCTGTTCCCCTTACCACCTTTCTGTATCTGCTCAGTCCAACAAAAACAGCACCTCTAGCCCCACGCCTGGGTCTTTCTCCACCCCTTCTCCCAACCATCTTTCCCCATTGGCATCTGTTACCAGCTTATATTTATCTGCTTAGGGACTCCCATCCTCCTAAACCTGGGCAGGCAACCAGAGCCCGTGAGCTGAATCTGGCCCATGGTTTGTGTTTATAAATAAAGTTTTATTGAAACGTAGCCAGCCTATTTGTTTGCACAGGGTCGATGACTTGCTTGCGCACCAGAACAGCAGAGTTATAACAGAGACCAATCACCCTCAAAGCCTAAAATGTTACCATCTGGTCCTTTATAGACATTCACAACTCGGCACTCAGCTCTAAGCTCCACGGGGTTGAGGCCATGTCTGCTGTGGTTCGGCATTGTTTGCCAAGTGCCGACCATAGTGCCAGGCATTCGCCAGCCTCCATAAACATTTGCTGAGTGGCCAAGAGGATAAGTCAATGAAAGAATCCGTCCAAGGGCCTGCCAGTCAGAAACGAGACCTCTTCCTGAAGTTGTAGGACTGGCTCCTGCCTTAGGGATGTGAGGTGGCTGCTCAGGTGACCCCTGACCTCCTTGTGACCTTTCTGGGCCACCTAGAGGCAGAGCTGTGCAGTATAGCAAAGCTGGTCTCCAAGGATTCAGGCAGAACCCCCACTGCACGTGAAAGCCCCACTGGCTTCCAACAGCTCGTGCAGGAAAGGAAAACCACCTTGCCGAGGCCGACCTGGCCCACTGCCTGCGCATCTCGCTCTCCTCCCTCTCTCTGGACTCTGGCCAAATGAGCTCACAGGCAGCGCTAGCTCCTTCCCACCTCAGGACCGTTGCACTTGCTGTGCCCTCTGCCTCAGCAGCTCTCCCCCACACGCCCAGGCCCCCAGGCTCAGCTAGCATGCTGGGTGCTCCAGGAAGGCCTCCACTCTGCCTGGCTCCTGCCCCACTCACGGCCCCCTTCCTGTGCATTTCTCACCACCCCAATCAAGAAACGGGGTTACCTGTGTATGGTCTGCCTCCCCGCAGCTTCAGCCCCAACCCTACCCAGCAGCAAATGCCATGAGGACACTCTCGCTCAGTCTGCCTCTCTAACACCTGAGTGGGACCCACCTGCCTGCCGTGAACCAGGCCCTCAGAAAAGATTTGTTGGCTGGTCGAGTGAATGAAAAATACAGAGACAGGTTCAGAAAAATCTATGTGGACTGCTTAAAGTACTACTCAAGATGTTAATATCCAAAGCAAAATACAGAAGGATGTAGCTTCTTTTTCTTTTCTTTTCTTTCTTTTTTTTTTTTTTTTTTTTGGTAGAGATTTTTGCTTCTAGGGCACGTGTATTCACCAGAGAGAGAGACAGACAGACAGACAGAGGCAGTGAAAGTGAAAGTGAGAAATCACCCCCCGGGAGAACGGCCATGCTACAATCCCTTCTCCATTCTTCTCCCAGAATCTTGGCATACACACACATGCCTGGCATGAGCTTCAAGCCACCAGGTCTGGGACTCGAACCGTGGTTAGCCATGTGAGAGTCCAGTGACATAACCGCTCTATGCCATCTGCTGGCCCCAAGGATGTAAATTCTATAGAGGGTAATTTGGTAATAGCCACCAAAATTCCAATCCCACACGTCCTGGGGCAGAGCAACGCCACACTCAGAAGTGCATTGTGTGGTTCTGCCCTCACCCATGCAGAACCAAGTAAGATTCGTTCCCACAGCCCTGTTTGTAACCCCAAAAGGCTGGAAGCAACCTAAAGTCCACTGGAAAGCAACCTAAAGTCAGCTACGAAAAGGTTTTAAAAGTTCTTCCTGTGGGGCCAGCAGGTGGTGTGGTGGTTGAGGCACATGGCCGACCAGGTTCAAGTCCCAGACCTGTCAGCTTTCTTTCTCTCTCCCTCTCTCTCTCTCTCTCTCTCTCTCTCTCTGTGTGTGTGTGTGTGTGTGTGTGTGTGTCTATCTGGTCAAATTAAGATAAAATGAGTAAATAAATAAAATAAAATATATTTTATAAAAGTCCTTCCTGTGGGGTTAGCCAGTGGCGTGATAGTTAAGGTGGCTAGATCCCACACGGCTGACTTCATGGCTCAAGTCCTGAACCCCTGAGGCTTAAGACACACGTTAGGTACGTGCGCACACACATACACACATACATGTATGCTCAAAATTCTGAGAAGGGATTGCAGTGTGGCCATTTCCCCGGGGATGTGCTTTCTCACTTTCCCCCCGCCGCAACCTCCCCCAGTCCCCGCGAGCACACACACCCGATAGAAAAAAAAAAAACTTCCCACATAAGAAATAACCACTCAGATTCAGTATTAAAGGAAGACAGCGAGATGTATGCAGTGTTCATAGACTAAGGAAGGTGAGAGGAAACACACACACGAATACACACCCACACGAACACGCACCCACACACGCACACACACGCACTGCTGATGGGCGCACAGGTTTTCTCCGGAAGTTACTGGCAACCCCAAGGTGGAAACTAAGTAATTAGGGGGAGAAGTAATGAGTGGCAGGGAAGAAAAAGACTTCTCTTTATTTCTGTATTATGTAGAAGAAAAAAATTAATAATTTCCCAAAGAAACGGTTTTAGATTTTATCTTGCAGGTGGTGGTAGGTGGCGTAACATGATATCTAGTCACAAAATTCTGGTTTTCAAAGCAAGAAACCGAGGACCTAGTCCTGCCCTGCCACCAACTCTCTGTGCAGCTTCGGAGAAGTTCCCCACCCACTCTAGGCCTCGGCTCCTCTCATGCACAATGGAATGGCCTTAAACTCAGGCGGTCTCCCTGGTTGCTTCTGGCTCTGAAATCCTCTGATTTCTCCAGCTCGCGTCTGTCTGCGGGGTCTGGAGTTCCTGCAGCTGCAGTTCCGTGTAAACTTGAACTTGCGCGTGCCCGCTCTCCCGCGTGCACCGCCCTTCCAGCAGGGAACAGAGCACAGGTTTTTCATCTAGGAAAGGATCGATGTAAAC